GGAGGATTGCCCGAGGCCAAGAGTTTGAGTCCAACCTGGGCAACGTAGCAAGACCCTCATTTCTAAACAACAAACAAAGAAACAAAAAACAGGCAGCCAAGCACTTCTTATGGACCTCATGACTCTAGTCTGGAGTAGTCATGGTTTGCATCAGATAAAGCATGCCTTTTTATGAGAGTTTGGAGAGTTTTCTAGTTTGAAGTCGGGAGTGAGAGTATAGTGACAGAGATGAATTTTCTTCCTGAGGAAAAAGATAGGTAGGACAGTTAAAAGTATTATGTAGGATTATATTTTGGGGTATATATTGTAACTGATTTTATTATCGGAGCACAGCTAAACAGAACACCAGTAGCACAGGGAAAAAAAAATGGAAAAAAGTAGATCCTATTTGAAATTTCTGGATGATTTTTCTCTTTGATTAAAAAAAGAGAAAACTACGATTTTGGTTGCAAAATTGAAAACTTTAAAAAGACAAAAAAGCCAGGCTCGGTGGCTCAGTCTGTAATCCCAGCACTTTGGGAGGCTGAGGTGAGTGGATTGCCTGAGCCCGCGGGTTCGAGACCTACCTGGGAAACTTGGCGAGACGTCATCTCTACAATAAATAAAAAAAATTAGCCAGTCGTGGTAGTGCGCGCCTGTAGTTCCAGCTACTTGGAAGACTGAGGCAGAAGGATCGCCGGAGCCCAGCAGGTCGAGGCTGCGGTGGCCGGGAGCGCCCACTGCACTCCAGTCTGGGCGACAGAGTGAGACTCTAACTCAAAAAAAGACAAAAAATATAGTGCCCAACCTGCATTTAAGTCGATAAAATTAGGATGTTTATCACATTGAAATACCAGAGTAGGTTGGCTAATTCTTATTAGTTATATAATTGACTGTAAATGTTTCATTAATTTAGATTGACTTAGGCAAAGCCAATTCAGAATAGGAAGCCAATATAATCCACTTAAGTAATTTTGTTTTCTTAGTCTTCTTGAACCCTGAGGGTAATGATACCATCTGCAGGGCAGAGATATTAGTAATTGTGATACTGAAAAGGAGGATGGGGAAGTCTGGATGAAATAGATGCTTTGTCATTTTTTTGGAAATGGTTTTGAATACTTGATACTTTTTTGGATTGATTTTTTTCTTCAATGCTTAAAAGGAAATGTTACCAAATTATGTACGTTATTCTAACATGGTATAAAATATCTGAGAAGTGCCGGGCTCGGTGGCTCAGCCTGTAATCCCGCGCCTTTGGGAGGCTGAGGTGAGAGGATTGCCTGAGCCGTGGGTTCGAGACCCGCCTGGGCAGCGAGACCTCATCTCTACAATAAATCAAAAAATCAGCCGGGCGTGGTAGCACATGCCTGTAATTCCGGCTACTCAGAAGGCTGAGGAGGAAGGATCGCCGGAGCCCAGCAGGTCGAGGCTGCGGTGGCCGGGAGCGGCCACTGCACTCCAGTCTGGGCGACCGACTGAGACTCCAACTCAAAAAAAAAAACAAAAAAAACAAAACAAAAAAAAATATCTGAGAAGTTCATCTTACATATTTAATTCCATTCTGGCTCATGGGTTTTTATGTGACTTTATAAGCATTGTTAATATTCATAGATTAGTTTTAAAATCAGCCAATCTGAGCTTAATTTTGTTTCTACTTAAAAAACCAAATGCATTTTTAAATGAGTTAAAATTCGAATAAATTTTCATTCTCTTGACGTCTAGAGCTGATGAATAAAGGTTGTTTTGTATGTTTCCTTTTAGGGAAGTGGCTTAGGGTTAGGTTAACCTCTTATGACAATATAACATTTGTAATTTAAGTTACTGACACTTGTAGGTTTTGGAGAAGAAGCTGACCGGGAAGAAAAGGAAATGAATCTTGATAAGATGGCAGTTTTTACTGGGTGAATTGGAGAATTGAGATCTGTATAGAATAAGATTTCCTTGTGTACATCTAGGAAAACTTCCTGGTATAGTTGTACTATCTTTAAAATGCTCATAACTATGTTTATTGACCTGTTCTGTCAGTTTTCTGCGTGTTACATGGAAGTTTTCTTCTTTTATTCCTATATACCCTTACATATATGTCTATTCCAGAAACAGTGTTCCTATTGTCATCCAGGTAGGAGCACTCAAACTATATAATGACGTGCATCTAGCTATCTTTGTTATTTTGTGTATAAAATGATTTCTCATTTTGTTAATAGTAATTATGGGCTATTTTGCTTTGCTTTCTTAATAGGCTAAAAGTCTACATTTCCCACACAGAGCTTACATATGATACTAATACTCTCTTAAATATAGAATTCCTGTAAAAGGGAAAACTAAATATGTTTTGAGACCTTAAAAAAGACATGTTTATCTCAGCCTGTAATAAGTTGCTTGTGATGATAATTGCAGAGTAGTAATCCC